TAGCATTGTTGTAAGCAAACTCTAGTACGGGCAGGTGCAAGTCCCATTTGGAGATGTCGTCCTTGCAGGCTGCTCGGAGGAGTTGCTCAACAATTTGGTTGAGGCGCTCGGTCTGTCCGTCTGTCTGCGGATGGTATGCAGCTGACATGGCGAGTTTGGTCCCGAGAAGAGACATAAGTTCCTTCCAGAACTTGCTGGTGAACTTGGGGTCTCGGTCGGAAATGAGTGTAGTTGGAATGCCATGCTGTGAGATGATGTAGCGAACGAAGAGTTGTGCTGTCTCCTCGGTGCGTGCCGTCGTGTGTGTCGGGATGAAGTGTCCCATCTTAGAGAATTTGTCGATGACGACAAGAATTGCGTCATGACCGCTAGTGGTAGGTGGTAACCCAGTGATGAAGTCGAGGCTGACCATTTGCCATGGCTGTTCTGGGACAGGAAGAGGCTGTAGCAGTCCTGCTTTCTTCTGCTTACTGCTCTTCATCCGTTGACACGTATCACACGAGGTGACGAATTTCTGAACATCATCTGCCAAGTGAGGCCAGTAGTAGTGTTTTGCGATATCAGTCAGCGTCTTGTTGCTACCGAAGTGTCCGGCGTATAGAACGTCGTGGTATTCTTCGAGTAGTAACTGGCGCAAAGGAGGGTAATTGGGTACCCAGATTTTCGTTGATCCTTTCCGGTACGCAATGTCGTTGCCCCACTGTAGTAGATGTCTTTTTTCTGCCAAGGGAATTTCGGGGTCGATGGTATACCCGTGTGTGAAGAGTCCCTTGAGTAGTGGATTCATCCCTTCGGCCTGAACAGCGGCAACGTGTGCAGGCCGGCTGAGGGCGTCTGCTTTGTTTTTGTGGCCGGGCTTGTACACGATGTCGTAGTGGAAGTGTGTCTCGAGGAAGTGAATCCACCGGACCTGCCGCCTGGAAAGGGTTGGTTGTGTCTTCAGATATTTCAGACTGCAGTGGTCGGTGTAGACTGTTGTTTGACGTCCTTCGAGATAACATCTCCATGCTTTGAAGGCGATGAAAATAGCAAGAGCCTCTTTGTCGTGTATCAGGTAGTTGAGTTCTGCCCCGTGCAGTTTCTTGCTGAGGTAGGCAATTGGTTGCAGTCCATTCCCCTGGTCTTGCATCAAGACTGCTCCCACGGCCTGATCACTGGCGTCTGCTTCAATGACGTAGTCACGTTCGGGATCTGGCAAGATGAGCACCGGTGCGGATGTCAGTGCTTGTTTCAGCTGCTCCACGGCTTCCTGGTGCTTCGTCTCCCATTTGTAGGGCGTGTTCTTCTTCAGCAGATTCGTGAGTGGTGCCGCGAGTTTCGCATACTGTGGCACGAACCTGTTGTAGTAATTGGCGAAGCCTAGGAACTGCTGCAACTCCTCGGGTGTCTTCCACGTACGTACGGCATCGATTTTCTTGGGGTCGACGTGAACTCCTTGAGCGCTCACCATGTGTCCTAGAAATTGGACCTTCTCCAGGGCGAATTCGCTCTTGGACAGTTTGACGTAGAAACGTTCTTGTCGAAGAATTTCGAAAACGCGTCGCAGGTGTTCGACGTGCTGCTTCATGTCGCGCGAGTAGATGAGGATGTCGTCCAGGTACACCACCACGCATTCATCCAAGAGTGGGCGTAGGATGTGGTTCATTTCTGCTTGGAACGTCGCTGGTGCATTGGTGAGTCCGAACGGCATGACCAAATACTCGTACGATCCGTACCGAGTTCGGAAAGCAGTTTTGTAGATAGAGTTGTCCGCCATCCGTATCTGCCAGTATCCGGACCGCAGATCCAGTTTGGAAAATACCGTAGCTCCCCGAAGCTGGTCAAGCAGGTCATCGATTCGTGGTATCGGATATTTATTCTTGATGGTCTGCTTGTTAAGAGCTCGGTAATCGATGCACATGCGCAGGCTTCCGTCTGGTTTCGGTGTGAAGAGTACTGGGGCACCGTACGGCGAAGTGGATGGTCGGATGAGTCCTTTGGCTAGGAGATACTCGATTTGTTTTTTCATGTCAGTCAGCTCCGTAGGGCTGAGCCGGTATGGTGCTCGGAAGGTCGGCTTCGAACCCGGTTCCTCCACGATCTCGTGTTGATGCGTTCGGTATGGCGGTAGCTCGTTCGGAAGATCGTCAGGAAGAATGTCTTGGAACTCCTTCAGTAATTCCTTGATTTTTTCTGGAGTTTCCGAGGCTTTCTCTCCGTCATTCTCCACCTCTGTTGCTATCGCCAAGAACCCGGTTTCGGTCCGCTTCACGTCCTTCTCGAATCGTGCGAGTGTCTCCACTGGGATATCTCCTGTATCGTCCCAGTTGGGTAGCTGTACTCTCCGTCCATTGTTGTAGATGCTTGCGGTGCGGTTCACCCAGTTGATCTCGGGGTTGAATCTTTTCAGGAAGTCTCGCCCGAAGATCAAGTCAAGCCCCTTGATGTTGGTGATGGGGAGTGCAGGTCTCCAGCGCAGTGGTCCGATTTGTAGGTGTAGCACTGCTTCGCCGTGTACTGGTAACTTGCTGCCGTCCACCATCGTTGCAGAGAATCCTGAAGGCTTGTACTCTTCCCGAAGTCGGTCGATCACTGCCTTGTCGCAGACGGTGTGTGATGCTCCGCTGTCCACGAGTGCTTGGAGGCGTCGTCCTTTGCAGATGACCTCGAGCACGAGAGGCGGGCGTTGCTCGAAGTACCCAAAGATAGTTTATTTAATGGGGTCATAGGGTACATCCCAATAATCCGTACACACTTTTTCGTTGCTATCTGCTCCTGAGCTAGCAGCGAGCCGAGGCTGCTTGGAGAACGGCTCTTCTCCAGGGCCCGGAGTTTCCCTGACGACTGTGCGCGTCACTGATGCCGAAGAACTGGATGCATCCGTAGGAGGAGTTCGGGGTTTGTGCAGCTTCTTGTAGACCCCCAGCTTCCTTTTAAGCTGCTTCAGCTCCACTGACGTCTTCCCTGGGAAACGGGTAGTCGATGTGGGCTGGTGTCGGGAGAGGACGTTGACTCTGTGGAAAGGTCGGCTTCTTTCCACACTCCTTAATTTTTTCCCCATGTTGTCCGGTACCGGTATGATCTCCACAGCTTTCTGCTTCTTTTGGAGTCCCTCCCGTATTTTCTCCAAGGCTCTAGCCCCTCGAAAATCATAAGTTTTCATTAAAGCATCTTTATATGATAGCTTTAACGAATTCTTATAATTTCTTGGGTCTTCAAGGAGTTTCCCCGTTTCGGCAGAGTCTTTTTTCGCGGAGTCTGATTTTTCCTCGGCGATTTCCTCTGGCGAAGACTGGTCGTGGGGTGGAGATTTTCCCCCATCATTTCCTCCTGCTCGCGTCGAATCAGCTTCGTCGAAGTTGATTTTCCCGGAATCCCGCGGCCGTTTCCGGATCTTTTCTTTTTCGCCAGCTAGATCCGCAATCACTGGCGACTCCCGTTTTTTGTCTTCTGATTGGCCGAAAGATTTCCGCCACTGTTGCGTGCCCGATACTCTGTGCGTGCGGCCTTCATTTTGTTGCAGTCGAAGATTCGGTGGCCCGGCACCCCGCAAAAATCACACGTGTAGTTGGTTTTTTTCGGACGTGGCCGCCCGTCGAATTTGTCGATCTCCATCGGGTCGGCGAACGTGGTGTGAGCCGAGCGGTCGCCTTGTCGCGTACTGCCGACGTGCGTCCGTCGTGTTCCGGCGTTGACCATGTCGAAGCGCTCCGCGGCCGAAACGACGTCACTGTAGCTCGCGTAGTTTGACGCTGCCACTTGTCGTTTGACTTCGGTCTTCAGCCCTGCGAGGTACGATTGCACTTTTTCCCCTTCGGTCAGGTCGGGAATTCGGTTATAAAATTCTTCCATCTGCTGCGTGTACTGTGCTACACTCCCGAACTGTCGATGGCGATGAATTTTTTCGTGGGCAAGGAAACCTGAATTTATCGGCTCGAATCGTTTGAGCAGGTCAGCGCGGAACTGCTGCCACGTGGCTTCACCGTGGATGAAGGTGCTGTTGCCGCCAATCCACTCGAGTGCCGGCCCTCGCATCAGTGTCGCCGCGAGTCGTACGCGTTGACCGTCCCAGACTGGCGAGCTCCATCCGACGGCTGCGAAGTAGATCTCCATCCCGGCGATCCATCTGCGGGCGTCGGAGTTTCGATCGCTCGGATCGAACGGCTCAGGTGGGCGCGGTTTCGGAGCCTCGAGAAACTGCTGCGACTGCTGCGTCGTCGCCGTTGTCGAGTCGTGCTGCGCTCCGGCGAGTCGAGTTACTCGCTCGAACTCGTTTCGCCACGCTTCGCGATCTGCTCGCAGCTCCTCCTGAAGAGCGGCGATGCGCGCGAAGAGTTGCTGGGTAACCTCGGCGTTGTCGAAGGTTGCCATCCTGTTCAAAACACGCGTGGGAGGGGGAATTCACAAAACGCGGAGCTGGTGCTTACCAGAATCGGCGTCGAATTCGTCGCCCCCGGCGGTTTTCCGAGGCAGGTTTTCCCGCTGCTGCTGCTTTGTTGAGCGCGGCCGAGTGAGACAAGCTCTGATTACCAAGTGTCACAGGATCGAATGTGTCGAGGAAAGGTTGCACTATCGATGAGTACAAGGCGCTTTTATACTTCCAGAGTACATCAGGTAACCAGGTTTATCTTATCCTAAGGGAATAGACCCTTCTAGAAGATAGAATCACCCTGCGTATAGCCACGCGAGGCTATTGGCTTTAAGGGATTACAGCAGGATTACGCTAGATAGAGCGCACCAGTACATCCCAAGCCTGGTCGGTGATATAATTATAATAGCAGGATAAACCAAAGGTTAATGGAAAAGGAAGAATAGGAAACCAAATGAGATGAGATAAAAGAGAAATGAAAAAGGAAGGAAATAAGAAAAGGCCAAGTGGTGTAACGGGGTCGTACTCTCACACTCGGCCTCTCATTGGATAGCTGCCATGGACACGGAGATGGCATCTTGGAGATCCACCGGCACCTATGTCGACGCAGTTCCCCCACCTAGGGTGAACGTAGTCGATGGCCGATGGCTCTACAAGGTGAAGCGCCCTCCTGGAGAGCCGCCTGTCTTCAAGGCGCGCTACGTTGCTAGACGCTTCAGTCAGCGCGAGGGTGTTGACTTCTTCCAGACCTTCGTCTCGACCCCGAAGATGACTACTCTTTGAGCGGTGCTACACGTAGCAGCACAGCGTAACTACAAGTTACACTCTCTCTCGACTTTTCGATATCGTTTCTCCAAGGCAGTCTGCACGAGCAGGTCTACCTGCGTCGCTCGCCTAGGTTTACCGGCACCTTTGCTCGGGGGACCCAGTGGCTCCTCTGGCGCCCGGTTTATGGCCGCGCGAGTGCCAGGACATGCTTCGTGCTACGTTAGCTGACCTATTGTTCTTCCCGTCCTCTTCAGACCCCTCGCTCTTCGTTCGTTCTGGCCAGACCCCATTCTATATCCTTGTCTACATAAACGATCTCGTCTTTGCAACTGCAGACAGAGATGCACTGGCCTCCGCGAAGGCTGAGCTGCTAAGGCGACACACCTGCACTGACTTAGGAGAGATGCGCTGCTACCTTGGCCTGCAGATCTCCAGGGACAGAGCAGCGCGCACCATCAATCTCACACAGCCACACTTGGTGCGCCATCTCGTGGAGGTCCACTTGCTCGTCGTCTATTGCGCAGTCTAGCTGGGAAGCTGAGATTTACGCTGGTGCCATGGCGACACAGGAGCTTCGCTAGCTGACTTTCTTGCTCACAGACTTAGGTGAGCAGCCTAGCTCTGCAAAGGTCCTATGCGCTGACAACAGGGCCATGATCCTCCTGTGTCAGGAGCCTCGACTAGAGGGCAGAGCGAAGCACATCTAGTTGCGGTACTTCCTCATGCGCGAGCTACAGCAGCGCGTAGTACGCTTGACCTCCGGTGCCAACACAGCTGATATCTTTACGAAGGCGCTTGCGTCTGAAGATCATCAGTGACACTGTTTACAGCTTGGTCTAGTTCCTGTAGCTTCTCACTTGTCAGGACCCTTACTATGTACTACTCCTTATAGTATCTTTACAGACCCTGTGGCTCTTGTTCCAATGGCTGGAATAGTAGTGCCATCCTGGATTGCTCTTGTTTGTTTTGTAATCTTGCTGTCTGGTCTTCGGACCCTTGCCTCAGGGGTTGGCCTAGTAGTGCCACCCTGAGTTGCGTGTCTCGTACTAGTCGCTGCCCCTTGTCTAGCCTAGGGGGTGTGTCAACGTATAATTTGTATATGTTATAGGCTAGCTAGGTGCATGCTCATATGGAGTACAACCCCTTAGGTTGTATTCCTTTGTACCACCTCATTCTAGTCACTTTTTCTATGCTGAGAGTCCTCTCGGTAGGGCGAGTATGAATCTAACAAGTCTACCACAATCACAACAATCTGGAGCTGAGTTCTAAAAGGAGAAGAGAAAGCAGAAGGGAGCACAGAACAAAGAGGTACGCATCACACACACGCTGCTGCTAACCAAGCCTTCACCTGCGCATTGCCCTTTGCCCTTGACGGAGGAGTGCTTCTAACAACTTATTAGAATATGTTGTTATATCATAGCTAGGTAAGTTTTTAGTCAATTTTTTCAGGATGTAGATTGTTTTTTTGGTAGAAGGTAAAGAATATGGAAGGGGGGAGGGCCGGATCAAGAGGATGCACGGGCTTGGGGGGCAGCTTCTGAGTGCCCGCAGCAGTTTGGCAATACCAGGGGAGGAGCTTGGAGCACGTTTGGCACGATGTCTTGCAACCAATGCAATAGATCATCATGTCTTACTGTAGAGCAAGGGCAAGCGTTTCCCAACCTCGTTGTGGGATAGGATACGGTAGTACTATACATTTGTTGTTTAATAAAAAGCGACCCAAGCCTACACAGCACACAGACCCCACCTTACTAGCGTTGGTGAGCAACAAGCAATAACAAATTAATGACCTCGTGTCCTAGACTACACTACACCAGACAAAGAGACTAGAAACCCTCCAGGCTTCACACACTGTAAGCAAGGGCGTGTCCCATTGGCTGACTTCCATATGCAGTTCAACTTGCAAGCCTTAAGCCGTCATACATTGTAAGGAGGGACGTTGTCCTTTGCTGCCTGTGCTGTGGGCGCTGCCGCTTCCAAGCTAGCCTTGAGGACCGCACGCTTGAACAGACGGACGTTGTAGTACCAGTAGAGTGCGATGTAGGTGAAGGACGCCAAATACGCCATGGCAGACGCTCCCCGAACTTTTCCGAGTTCCGTTTCAGGGTCGTAGTAGCCGAGTCCATATGGATAATTTATCGCATTAGTAATCGCCACGCTGCATAAAGGGGAAGGACAAAGGCAAATGCAGGCTTGGAAAAATCATGCAGAGCAAGATTCCTGTGCGTCAGTATGTCCCTACTCTCCCTTAATCGTTCCTGACTCACTGAAACGACCCGTGTGCTACATAAGTTAATCCTAGGGGCAACAATTTGGAAGTCGAGATGTTACTGACCATATAACAAAACTGGAACATACCTTGTCCCTCCGGTGGTGGCCCACCACAAGCTACACGCAGCTGCGGATGACGTGGCGGCTGCGAAGAGCAAAATTGACATTATCTGTACAGTAACGGCGGGAAGTAGGTACGGAAAGAATGAGACATAGGGGTATAAATAACATATACTAGAGAAAGAAACTGGAAAATAGCCTACAAATCCCTCCATGAGATTTGTAAAGCTTTGACGCGCCTCAAATCATCCGGCAAAAGATGAAGACAACAAAAAATCACGATGGAATCGAATATATTCTACTTACATAGGTCTCAAAGAGCTGGATGAGGTCCATTATGGCGTCGTAGACCTCCGAGCCCGCGACAAAGATGCGCGCGACGTTGTAGATGATGAACAGTACGGCGAATATGAACCCGAGGATCGCCATTGCCACTAGGTACGCTCCCGCGCCGTACGCCGTCACGGTCACTGATCCCTTGACGGCAAAGCACAGGCTGCGATTGTATGGAGTGGAAGAACGGAAGAAGACATGGAGTCAGGAGGAGAGATGGTGAGACTACGGGAAGAATAAAGGACATGCTAGCTTTTGAGTCGAATCAAAAGAAGAAAAAAGGACGTGCTTAATTTTAATGGAAAGGAAGGCGAGCCGCGGCGGCGCACCTGAACGCAATGAGGCACCACAGGAAGATTCCGATGCGAAGGCTGAGAGGGAGCCACGTGTACAGCGCGGAGCGCTTGTTGTTCGCGCAGCACCCGTCAGGGGCGCTCGCGGGCGTTGGCGCTGCCGATGCCGCGGCGTACGGGGGCGGCGGAGCGACGTACGCTCCCGCTGGTGCCATGTTCTGCATGTTCGGAGCTTGCTGCTGCGCCATTTCAACTTGAAGTCGCTGCCTTTTTCAAGAAGTTGTCTAATCGAGGACGGACGAAATCGACAGTGATCTTGAGGAGTTTCTTATACGAGAGGTGAACGGCGAGAGATGTGAAGGTTCTGCGTGAAGAGACGCACTACCCGTAGAGCTACAAAGTTCTTGAAAGAGAAGATTCGATGAGTGATGGGAGCTGGAGCCGAGGGTGCAAGAAATACGGCGAGTGAACAAGCGAGATTGGAGTTGTGAGAAGGGATGGAAAGGCGGGAAATTATATGTTGAATTGTTGGCAGTGGGTGGGGAGGGGGGACAATGGATTGGGAGGGAAGGGGAACGAGTGCGCGTCGCAGGCAGCAGCGGGACTTGGTGTTGCAGCATCAAGAGCTGACGTGACGCGCCAGTGTGGTGTGAGCCCCTGCACAGGGGGGATTTCTCATGTTTCCCTTTTCCTCGTGGCGTGGCCCAGCTAGCCAGGTCAACAGCGTTGCACCAATCGGATTGGCCATTACACCATAATTACTGTCAATTTCCCATTAGGTCAACGGCGTTTCGGCAAGACAGTGCCTCGCTGGCGGGAATCCACGTTGCTGTTCCCTGGTGGTGACAACGAGCATGTGCTTTTGGAAGCTTGCTGAGACCAGGTCAGACGGAAATGAAAAGCTGGGACCCGAACATGCCCTCAGATTCGTTTTAGGCCACGCTGATCAGTCAGTATCGATCTAAAAAACACCCTGAAAATCAGTTTTTGGTAGTGGTTTTCTTACTGGTTGGCCCTGGTTCTTTCGTTTTCAAGGCTGATTCATCACGGTCGGTACTAGATAACAACCTGAAAAATAGCAAAATCAGTGTAAAAAGCCTGATAACTAGGGGCCTGGACCCAAATACTGCATCGCAACCTAAACAAGCAAGGGATTTTTGGAAGCACACTTCTTAATGCCCACATGAATCCCATAACGAAACCATGTAAAGCTATTGTTGGGCTGAGAAATGCCCTTAGGATCTTTCCAGAGACTAAGTCCCAGTTGTAAAAGACTTGAGTAGTGCAGCGGAAGTTGAGGTAGTTGAACCCTTGTACTAGTATATGAGAACAAGTGATTGATTAAAATAACAAGCATACAGCAATATATAGAAAGTGGGAATGTAAAGCAGTTGTAGAATACAGTTGAAAGGGCAGTTTATCGAGTCGCACAGAGACTCGATTGTCGCTTCAGTTACCATCTTTGCAGTTGTAACTGTCAGTCGCAACCTCCAGTTGCGACCCTTCGAGTCCTTTCGTGTTGTTTGTCCATCCCCTCGTGTAACCTACGTTGACTCGCGTACCCGTTACGACCTTCCTCGAGTGTAGTGTTACACTTCAGAAATGCTTAAGTCCTTGAGGTATTTCCAACACTCCCCTTCGTTTCTGGAGTGCTGACGTGTTCAAATCCGGTGACGTTTGTCTGCCCGGTCAGCAGCATGCAGTAATCAAACTTTGCCTTCGCCAGTTTCTTCGTCAGGTAGTCTGCGGCCATTTCTGTCGTAGGGCAGTAACTGAGTTGAAGTCTCCCCTTCGCGATTTCATCTTTGACGAAAAAGTACCTCAGGGCAATGTGCTTTGTTCGGTTGGCGAAGCCGTCCTTGTTCGCGATTTTGATCGCAGATTGGTTGTCGCAGAGGAGTGAGAAGACGGGCAGGGTCGCAATCTTTGCTTCCTCGAGCAACTCTCGCAGGTAGAGTCCTTCCTTGGTCGCAGTACAGAGGGCGATATATTCTGCTTCAGCCGAAGATAGTGCGATTAGCTCCTGCTCGCTCGACTGCCAAGAGATAGTCCCGATAGGTTCTAGTCGGTAGATGTAGCCCGTTCTCGATCGTCGATTTTCCCTGTCCCCCGCGTGATCGGCGTCGACGTATCCGAGTAGTTGTACGGATGGTGTTGTTACTTTGCTGTAGGTAAGTCCGGTCGTCGGCGTAGAGACGAAGTAGAGTAGTGCCCGGTTTAGTTCTTCGAGATCTTCTTGTTCCGGCTGCTTCAGATGCGTCGCCAGCTGGCTTGCGCTGTAGGATAGGTCAGGTCGGCACGTTACTACTGCGAATAGTAGGCAACCGAGCTTCTGCTGATACTCCCGGATTTGCTTCGCGGGGAGTTTTTCGGAGGTGTCGTTGTTGTTCCCGTAGCGGTAGGGAGTCGCGACTGTAGTTGGTGTTAGTCCGAACTTCTTTGCGACAACGCCTGCGTACTTTCCAGCGTATAGGTAGAACGCCGAGTTGTCTTCGACGACATTCAGACCCAGGTTCGGGGTCACTGTGTCGGACACCGTGAGTGTCAAGTCCCCTTTCAGCTCCCCTTCGAACCAGGTGGCGATTTCGGTAGTGGAAACGATGAGTAGGATATACTCTCTTCCCTTCTGCAGTCGGTACATGCCTTGGTCATGCGGCAGCTGTAGGAATCCGATTCTGACGAGGCGACCGTGAAGATGTTGCTGCTAGAGCCGCGGGGCTTGTTTGATCCCGTAAAGGGATTTTATCAGCTGGCATACTTTT